TAATGTCCTCCACCCCAGGGTCTTTGTACATGCTCCTCTCTCTGCTGGACCACTCTCTCTTCTTGCAAAGCTAATCATGCTTACCTTCCAGAGTAGAGGTTGAACACAAAGTCCACAGAAGACATCCTCTGGGTCAGGTTCCTCGGTCAGGCATTCTTGTGGGACCATATATACCTTCCCTTCCAATCACCTCATTCAGTGTGTAGTTATGCCCTCACTGATGTGAAAATAACCCACTGGGCTTGAAGTTCCATGAGAGCAGACAGCACCTCCATTTGTGCCCACTGCTAACAGCATAGATGTATAGAAGATACCCAGTGAATATTTGCTGAATGAATGCAACCATTTTAATTACATTTATCAACATCCCTTTAACCAAAGCAAGTCACATGGCCAAGCTCAAAGTCAAAGTAGGAGAACACTACGAAGTTACAGGTTAAAGGATGGGGATACAGGGAAGCCCTTAGCTGAGACTTTATGCCATCATCCTACAACCTTTCCTACCCACTACCAGCATTAGTCATTCCCTCATCTGTGCTATCTCTGCTCCTTACTCTTAGTCTGTTGTTATACTTTCCCCCTTGTGTTGAAATATAGTTGCTACCTTGTCCTCCCTAAAAGAGTATGGGTCCTTGCGCCTATGTGCATTCATTCATAAATATGGAAGGAGGGAGCAGAGCTTTCCTGGAAAAAAAAAAAGACACAAAAAATAAGACAATTGTCATTTTATTTTGTTCTCAAAGTAAGTAAAATACTTGGGGAAAAAATCAAAACTACTTTCAGATTATTTGATTATAATAGGAAGACCTTTCCCACTGGACGGAGAAGCCAGATTGAACTGAGAGGATGAATAGCTATGGCTTCACCATTTGTAGTTCAAGTTGGGGCCAAAAGGTAGAATTTCAAGCTAGAAGGAATGGGTACAGAGAAATGCCCTGTAGTTTTGGCAGCCAAGACATTGCTTCTTTCTCTGGTAAATTGAATTTCTGTGGCTTAGGGAAAGCAGGACCCAGACTAAAAAGGGTCCACTATGCATGGTCATTTCCCAAAGCTTAGAGAAGAAGAGGAGAATAGAAATAAAATTAAGAAGTAAACAAAGGGTGCATTTATTTAAGTAAAAATTTTTGGAAGAATCTTGAAAACCACAGGAACTCCTCAAGATGTTTATGTAATTGGATATAATTTATATGGGATTGAGAGGAATAATAATCAAGACATTTTTCACTTAAGTGCATCTGGAAGCCTATGAAATTAGACTCTTGGTGGTGGCCTGTGCTTGGCTGTGTCCTTGGTGTTTTGTCTTCAGGCTGCAGGTTGGAGATGTGTTTTATAGAGCAGACATGGAGCACAAAATATTAAATGAACTTTGCTGTTTTCAAAATGCCCAACTGTGTAATATCCTCCTTGTTTGGCAGAGAAAGAGCTCAGCATTTGGAAACGCAGCAGTGCATTAAGTATTTTAATAATCATTGTTGACACACAAAGCATATGGCCTTGCAGAACTCGCTGGGTCAAGTGTTGAAGTTGTCTTTTAGGTTTCTAAAATTATAAAATCCAAACAAAATTAAATTAGGGCACATTTCAAATTATATTAATTCATTATCTTTGTGTTATAAGGAAATGAAATAAGTTTTCTCTAGGTTATAAGAATAGTGTCTGTGAGTGAGTTGTCTTTACATGAATGAAAAAGATTTCAAACCTCTGCACAAAATTAATTTACATTTAATTAAAATATCTAGAACCTTAAGGTAAGTAGGCCAGTCTTACGGATACTTGTATTTATTTTTTTGCTTTGTAGTCCAGCCGTAAGACCTATCTCAGGTATCCCTTCATCTCAGAAACCTTCATTCTCTTATTTCCTTACAGTTTACAAGAGTTATTCATGACCACAGTAATGCTGTGAAATAAGCAACCATAACACTCAGTGGCTTAAAAAAAAAAAAAAAAAGCATTTCTTATTGCCCACAAGGCTATAGGTTAGTAGGGCATTTCTGGTCTCTGTGGACTCACTCATGTGTTTGATCAGCTATGGGGAAGGGAGGAGCTCTCCTGATAATGGCTGGGCTCTCTCATGTGTATGGAGGTTAGTCGGCCAAAGACTGATATGTTGGGCCAACTGGGCTCTCCTCCTCATGTCTCTCGTATCCAGTCTCTGAATACCCTCCAGCTGGCCAGCCTAGGTTTATTATCACAGCCATTTCATCAAGAGAGAAAGTGGACGCATTCTAGCTTTTTTTCCAGCAACCATTTTAATTACATTTATCAACATCCCTTTAACCAAAGCAAGTCACATGGCCAAGCTCAAAGTCGAAGTAGGAGAACACTACGAAGTTACAGGGCAAAGGATGGGGATACAGGGAAGCCCTTAGCTGAGACTTTATGCCATCATCCTACAGCCTTTCCTACCCACTACCAGCTTTAGTCATTCCCTCATCTGTGCTATCTCTGCTCCTTACTCTTAGTCTGTTGTTATACTTTCCCCCTTGTGTTGAAATATAGTTGCTACCTTATCCTCCCTAAAAGAGTATGGGCCCTTGCGCCTATGTGCATTCATTCATAAATATTTATTAACTATCTTCTATATGTCTTGTTCCAGTGTCTAGTACTAGAACTAACACACAGTAGGCACCCCATAAATATGTATTGAATTAATGTACATGGGAAAATCCATACCCCGTATGTACTTCCTTCCCCTTCAGAGAAAAAGACTGAGAATCTCATGATAAGGCCTTCCTGGCTCCAGTACCTGTTGACCAGTTGAGGAACCTGGTTGGAAGATCTCAGCTGCTGGACAGCTTCTCTTCCAAATTCTTCCAGAACTTGTATCTGTCTACCTATTTTCAAAGGAAGGCAGAGAAACACTGATATTCACTCATCTTAGGCTCTTTTTATAGTCGGGGCCACCAAGTAGCTTAAACGATGTGTGCTGTGCTCTATGGTGGGGAATAGTCCAGCTCCAGGACTTATTTAAGCCCAGTTTGAGGGGCACTGGATGGCTCCTATTCTCTATTCTTTGCAGCTCTGTAGACCAAGAATACAGAGGACATCTTAGGAAATTTTTTATAACTATAGACACAAGATTCCATTCATACAGGATAATTACAACAGTATGGTGTTAAATGTACTGCCTCATTATTTTCCAATTCGTAGGATTCTATAGGGAAAACTTGTGTTTCTAGGCGTAATTGTAATTTTGAGCTCCTTGGTTTTCCAGTGAGTGATATAAATTGCTTAGGAGTGAGAACTTTATGGCTTTAAAGTCAGGAAGCCTAATTTAGATTGTCTGTCCTGCCCAAAAATTACTTGCTCTGACAAAGCCACTGATATTTTTATAAGCTGTGAACATGTTAGTATTAATACTAATGGTAAATTTAATATATTTTCTATCAAATAGCCCATGTTTATTTTTATTAGAGAAATAAAATAATCACTCCTAAAACTATGTCTTTGTTTGCTATAACAGAATACTACAGACTTGTATTTATAAAGAAAGGAAATTATTTGGCTCACAATTCTGGAGGTTGGGAAGTCCAAGGGCACAGTGCCAGCATTTGCTCGGCATCTGATGAGGTCTTTTTTGCTACATTATTCTGTGGCGGAAGGTAGAAAGACCAGAGCATTCACGAGAGCAAAAGGAGACCAAATGCACTTTTATAACAACCTGCTGTTGAGATAAAACTGCGCTCCTTCAATGACGACATTAACCCATTCATGACAGCAAAGCCTTCATGACCTACTCTTACAGGCCCCACTTCTCAATGCTGCTGCATCACTGATTATATTCCTAACACTTGGACTTTGGGGGACACATGCAAACCATCGGAAACTATTTTAGAGGTCATACTTTAAAATGCATTCAAGTACCTTACCTTTTTAAATGGCCTAAATTTTTTCTTCATTCAGTTAACAGAAATGTATTCAATACCTGCTTTGTACCAGGTTTCCAGATGGCATAGTGGTGAACAAGGTAGATATTGTCTATGCCTTGCTGCTACACTGTGATGAAAGAGCTATCATTAATAAATCAGTGTTACTTCCTTCTCTTAGTAAACTGCCTAGTATCTACAACTCCATGAATAACCTGAGCTCAATTACTATTTAAACTTATCAAGTTAAATATATTGACTACATAGAGCTCTGCATATGTCAGTCAGGTCTCAGTAAAGTGATTTTTAAAAAAAAAAAAACTGGCTCTTTCCAAATATGATGTGATATTGGATTGGAAGAAGAGGAAAATTTTTACTTCATAATTTTTAATGATGTATTAAATCCTAAAGCTTTCCATTTTATTATGACATAATGTATAGCATAGACATTTCTGAGTCTGTCTCCGATATTCATTCTCCCCCTGAATTACTCTAGTTCAGGGGTGAACATAAGATTGTTTAATGTATATTACTCAATAGTAAAACTTCAAAAGTTTATCAATGGGGATAGATTTTTAAGTGATGTCAAAATTCCATCATCTAGGATCCTAGATTGGTTCCTGAAACAGAAAAAGGACATTAGTAGAAAAAACGATTAAATCCCAAAAAGCTTGTAGTTTAGTAAATAAGACTATACTAATGTTAAGTGGCTTTAAGAATGCACAATGTTATGTTAGATATTAGCATTACGGAAGCAAAGTGAAGGGTACACGGGAACTCGGCTTCCAAGGACTATAGGCAAACAGTGACACAAAGATGATTCCCTTGCCATTTCCATGTTTCCAGGCTTCTCCTCACTGTGGTCAATGTAAACTGCCTAGAAAAGAGATCAACTTTAACATTAAACAAAGAAAAATGTAATTGGGGTGGTTAAGTCGATTGTAAAATCATAACCAGTATTTAGGTCCTTTGGAGGTAAAGAACGGATGTTATCATCTTTGTGCTTGTCAGAATTTTCAAGGTATTTTCTGGTATGAAAGAGGAAACTCCTCTATTGATCTTTTCCCACCTGCAAGTTTTTTACTACTTTAAGAGTTTGAGTGATTCAGAGATCTCTTTCTTCTACTTTCATAGGTACAAACACAAGTCCGCCTTGCGAAAAAAAACTTTGACAAATTGAAGATGGATGTGTGTCAAAAAGTGGATCTTCTCGGAGCAAGCAGATGCAATCTCTTGTCTCACATGCTAGCAACTTACCAGGTAACAAAGCAACATTTGTTACAATGAACCAAGAATGGCATGAAGCTTGGATAACCTAAAAATGGTATTTGAACTGAAAGTATGTTTTAGACAGTATGAAGTTCTGAATGTCTTTCTCCTAATTTACTCCCAGCCATGCTAGGGTCCTGTAGTTTAACTAAACTCAGTGGTAGTTATTCCCTACATGCATTGTAATATTTTTTTTTTCTGATGGACTAGATTGAATATCACATTATTCCATCGGTGTCCCCTGAACTCATTTAGTCCTGTGACTACATCATGTGGGTTTCCTTATCAGGTTGTCATTTTCTAGCACATCTGGTTTTTGTCTTCCCTGAGTTTCTTTTTTTTTTTTTTTTAATAATTTTTCTCTTTATTTTGTAATTTTCTTATTTAAAAAAAATATAATCACTGTACATGTCCAGAGCATACAGAATGAATCTTCGCAGCATTAGCTCAAAGTAATTTACCATACACATTATCATCAAAAGACAACTTTCCATTATTATGTCCCATAAATGTTTGGTTATTTTCCTTGGATTATTCCCTTCCACCTCAGCCATGGAAAACAATGAGTCCCTGTCTTCCCTGCGTTTCTTTAGAAGAGTACTGTTTCTGTCAACAGTGTTGAGTGTGGGAAGCAGAATTGTGGGTGTTGTAGGGAATTTACAGATTCCCTATCCTCAGGGAGTTCAAAGTTTAGAAAGGAAGTTGGAGACTGTCAAATCTTACTGTATTTGCTATGCACTCTGGGACAGCACAAGATATGTTAAGTGAAATAAATTACATGAAAGCCAAAGAAGGTTTGAAGAGGGAGAAGTTGAGTCAGCTGAGGATAAAAAAAAAATTAGATTGTTATTGTTTAGAAAGGAGAGGGTTCTGGGTAGTGGAAGCAGCCTAAGACACAGGGACCAGGGTTTGGAAATAACGGAAGGCATTTAGTTTGGGCGGAATACAGGGTCCAAAGGGGAGCACGATGGGAAACAAGGGTGCTGAGATGGGTTGCAATCCTATTTTAGAGCACCTTGAAATTTACAGATAGTCACACTTTCCCAAGCCCCTGACTGGAACTGTGCATTTAAAACATTAATATCTTTATTGTCTTTCTTTCCAGACCACTCTGCTTCATTTCTGGGAGAAAACTTCTCACACTATGGCAGCCATCCATGAGAGCTTCAAGGGTTATCAGCCATATGAATTCACTACATTAAAGGTATGAGAGCTAGAGAGGCCACTAGAAAATCTTATGGAGTATAAAATTTTGTTTATATCATAAGCAATGCCCATTGCAGTGAACATCTTTATACTGAGATTCCAAATGTTACAGAGAGCACTATGCCACCCCCAGCAGGATATTTCTTATTGCATCGATATTCAATACAGTCATAATCCATTGCAATCTAAAAATCAAATTGTACCCTGGGATATTTGTTGCTAAAATATACATGAGGACTTGTGATAACCTGGAGTCTCATTAGGCTTGCTCCTTTAAAATACTCATCTGACATGGTAGAAGAGAAGATTGCACAAGTCAGTTACTTTTTAATTATGAAATTCAAATATGCTCCCTTGAGAAGGTGTCTTTCTTTTCTCCCTTATTCTGGAAAATGTTATTCTGAAAGTATCATCTAACCTAAAGTTAGCTTTCTTCATAAGACTACAGTAATATTTTTTTAATTGGAAGAATGACATTTAACTCACTGATTTCGTAACTCAGAGGAGATACACGCACTCACCGTGTCAAATTCTCAGTCCTGAAACTGAATATGGAATTATTTTTCTTTCTAATGGCTACTGTGGATGGATGCATATTGAGATAAGGAAGTGTTTTTGGTTCCAAAAGGATTTGAAGAATGCTGAAAGAACAGTGGGTGGTTTATGGCCAGTCATACCTTTGAAAGAAAAAGACTATGCAGGAACTAGGCGAAGATCACTTGCCTTGCTTCTTATTTTTTAGGCAATTTGTAAGTGTCCTATCCTCCTGACTGATAAAACATTAAAACGCTATTTTTCTTCCCTTAAAATTCTTCTTTGATTTTCAAATATTTATAATAAAAGTCACTACATCTATGAAACTACTAACTCAGAAGCCCTTTAAGACCCTGGTCCTTTAAGTAAAGGTCCCAAAAAGAGCTGAAGATGTTCCACTCACTTCACAAGCATATGCCCTGACTCCATATGGGTCACCTGGAGTTTGTTCCTCATAATTCTGCCTGCAGCTGGCCGCTCTCCCTCTCGATGGCACTCACTGACACGCGGAATGGTGAATGCCTTCAGAATGCAGTTTTACTCTTTCTTCCATAAGTACTTGAGGGAAGGGACTTTTGATGTCTTATATGTCTTCCTTTGTTCAGTCAGATGTTCTGCACACAGTGAGCCCGCAGCCTTCCTTTTGTACTGGGAAGGTTACTGCTACTGATGGGGCTGCATTTCTTCTCTGTGATTTTACTACCGTCTTTGGCACCTTCGGAAGTGGTCATCTTGCCCAAGACTGCATGGTTGATTTTAAAACGATCACCCACACCATTCGCAATTCTAACACAATCCTGAGCAGACCCCATAGATCACTCATTGATAAGGCAGAGACCGTTAAAATTTAGGTCATGAGTGTGCATCCGATTTTATTTTATGTACAGTTTCAAAGATTATCTGTCTTTTAAAAGACAACAGTACATCACATAAGTTAGCCAGCTAGAAGGTGAAATGATGTCTATTCCAAATACAATTCAAAATAATTTCAGGTTTGAGTTCATTGCATGTAAAGTACAATAAGAATTCCTGAATTTGAAGTCATGCCACAAGCATGGAAGAACCCATATGTGTCTCCCTGGCCTCCTGTGCTGAGGAAAATATGGCTCCTTAATTTTTGCCATGAAATTTATCCTGCAGAGAGGATCAAGCTGATTATGTCAGAGGACTTCTGGGCAGAGAATTTAGTGAAAGTTTGACAGCAGTGGCTTAGGACATAATTCCAAATATTTGGGGCAGATGACTATTCTATATCACCAGACCTTCCTTAAATTGTGATCTGAGTAATAGATCATGGTTTCACTGTAATATAATCTTAGTAGGAATAATGCACCTGTTAAAGTATATTGATGTTACAGTAATGCTAAGAATACGTATCCAGAAGTTAACCAATTGTACTTTTATTAGCTCTCTAGAATTTTGTGTGTGTAGCTTTCTATGATGCCATGTTGTATTCGAATCTCAAGCTGATAGCTAGTTATTTTCTTTCTGTGGGCTCAAAGCTAATATAATAACATTCTATTATTACACGGCTCACTATTACACAGATGCAGGCACATTGAATGACATGTTATATTGTATGCCACAAAACATGAAAACAAAGCCATTAAGACCTTATGGAGTTTGGTTAAGTGTGAGGATATTGTTTGACCTCTCAATCCTCTTGCACCAAGTTTTTTTAAGAATATGTATCCTGTATTTGTAATATATGTATTGCGTTAAGTCACCTTTATATTTATCCATACATAATTTTCTTCTGAATGACCCTGTATATCAATAATGAATATTTTGGAGCTTAAATAAATACGTTCATGATTAATTTGTTCTCTGGGTTTACCTAAGCAAATAGCCCCTTAAATGCCTTTTGGGACTCTCACTGGAAAGAAAACATTGTCTTTGGAGAAGGCTGCCAAGCTGTGTTAATGAAAAGCAAGCCATTTGTTTTTGTTGCTTCAGGGTGCGTTCTGAGTGTGTTGGTAATTGTGCCATTGCAGCTGTATTTCCTGACTGTTGGTTTTATGCTTGATGAAGGATGATAATTAATGTGTTAAACACTTAGTGCATCCTGTTTGGAGGGCAGAGTCTTTTGCTGCAGAATTACAGGGCTATAACTCTTGCCCCAAGAAGTTCAAAGTTTTACTTCTAAAATGAACTAGTCTGTAAAAAAAACATGTGACAGTTCTTTTAGAAAATATTTTACTATAAAAGTATATTGAATCTCCACCTTGTACAACTTGAAAAATATCAAATGACTACTCTGACATTTTGAGAGTATTTTTTGCTAATGTTTTACCTAACAATGGCTATTGCTTTTTTTTTAACTCAGGCATGATATGATTATATCAATTCTACTTTTATAAACATATTCTCTAATAATTTTAATGTTATAATAAATAGATTTTTGTCGCATTTTGGCTTTATGAAAATTTAAACATGAAATTCAATTCTGCAAAAAATATGAATCTAATATTTGTAATTACTCAAATTTAACAGCAGAGTACTTCTAAGTGTTTTTCAATTTAAAAAGCACAACAAACCCTTCCCACCACAAACATTTATTGATTCATTAAAAAGTTACTGAACAGGGACCAGCAGTTAGCATAATGGCTATGTCGCCGGACTCCCATGTAGTCAACCGCGGTTCATGTCCCAGACCCAGTGGCTTAAATCTCACACTGGGTGTGTGTGTGTGTGTGTGCCCAAGATCCTGAGAGGAGAATGGAGGAGAAGGGATTGCGGCGTGACCATCCCCCCGGGTGGTGATTTCTCGCTTTCTGCCTCTCTGTCTCTCTCTGTCTGACTGGCGTGTGCACGCGCCCTATAGCAAAAACCTGTCCAAAAAAAAAGATAAAAGAAAAGAAAAAAACAGTTACTGAACATATATATTTTATGTGAATTATCATCAATCAAGTAATTTTATACTGATTTGAAATCGTCTGGGAATATCTTTCATGTGGTAAAAATTATCAAGTTATGGGCATAAGAATGGAATGTTACTAGCCAGATTTTAAAAGCACTGCTATTTTTTTTAGAGAAAATAATATAGATGAATAGTTTCAAGCATTTTTTAAAAGCTAAATGATATTCTATCTTGTTAGGAAAGCAGTACCATATCCTAAATTGCCAAGTGTGGTTGTGTTTGCTTTGTCCTTCCAGGATGTCATCTACTTACACATTTTTCAATGGATCTAGACAGACATTAGCCAAAATTTTTTTTTTTTTTTTTTTTTTTTTTTT